TTACCATTACATTATGTTTTTTTTTTTTTTGGGGGGTATCTTAATTCTTCACTTTTATCTTCTATTACTGGTCAGTTTTCTTAATATAATTCTATGTTTTCCTTTCCTCATTTGAATCCAGATTTTGAGCTTTTATCAGGATTTCTTTTGGTGGGAATTTCAAATTGAACACTTTATGCAATCAACGGGAGTGGATTTCGATCCTCTGCCCATCCTATAGGGATAAAGAATTGGTTGGTTAATTTAGTAACATCGTAATTATGAGTTCAATCCCTGGGCCAGGTAGCACAGACTCAGACTCAGTGAAAACTGCTAAAAATACGTAAGAGAAACAAAACGAGATATTTTTCGGCATGGATAGTGAAGAGTACTGTGTATTTTAAGAAATGGGAATATATGCTTACAAACATGCAATATATGAATGGATTTCTGTAATGAGAACATGGCATTTTTTTTTTTTACATTTGGCTTAATGCCCTCATCTTTGTTGTTATTACCACAATATTTTGCCGGAAGTGGTCTTCTGCCTTCTTCGGGTATCTGTTGATCTAACGGAATCAGAATAATCTACCGACTGTAGATTAATCCATGGACGATAGGAAAGCTTGAATGAAAATGTACGTAAAGCGGGTAAAAAAAAAAGGAGAAAATTCATTTTTAAAGAGTAGTTTTTTGTAATTATTTTCGCTTTACAAAAACTGATAACTGATAGATTATAAAAATAATGTAAATAAGAAAGGAAAACAAATGTTTCCCAAATTTAATATTTCTTACTTTACGATACTTCTTCAAGCATTCCATGCACAATTGAATCATCATTTTTCGCCTCCTTTCTCTTCGATACGTATGAATGGAGACATAGTTCTGTCGTTGGATTTAAAAAAAAAATCGGAATCACCCTATGCAAGGCAATAAAGCCACTAAGACCCAAACCGTTACAGGGTGTGGAATAATTATAAGAAACATTAATAATGAGGGGGAAGAGGAAAGCGTAGTCAGGAGGAGAGTAGATAGCGTTTGACATTGCATTTAAATTAGAAAAGAAACTGTTAGCATAGAACTTACGGTTCCATCTATTCAGCTCAACTGTAATTTGATGAGATCTCGACGCCAGTCTGGTACTGCGCTTAAATTTTATAAAATCTGGTATCGTAGCGAAGAGCTCATCCGAACAATTACCATGAAAGTATTCATAGAAAAAAGACACAGAGAGGCAACCTAACATCACTGGGTATATGACTGAAGCCAGATAACCGATTTACCAGTTTCTTTCGCTCTCAGTACCCCCCCTTGCGTCTTAGTGGCTTTATCGCCTTGCTTGGGGTGAAATGATGTTAAAAATTGAAAATTACGCATTTAGCCTCGAATCATGAAGAAATGATGTCCATACCTTTGGAAAAAATGATCAATTGATGATATCCGCTGATCTCCAAAGCGACATCAGTTGTTGATGACTGCCGTTTACGGGTTAAATAAATGGCTTAGTTCGAAAATTCCTGCAGCTTACCTGTATTGACAGACAAGTGGATAGTGCACAACAGCTGAAAGGTTGTGATAAAAGATGAAGTCGTTTGGCCGTCTGTAAATAAAATAATTCCTAATCCCAGAAATTCAGGTAGAAATGTTCTTTTCCAATAGCTCTTATTTATTAATGGCGATTTTCTGGTACAAGGCCGAAAGTATGGGGCACCCAGTGAGGATCGAACTTGCCATTCAGTAGTAACTGATCTGGCGAGACAATCTTGCTAACTATTGCACCACGTCTAAGTTCCTAAATAATTTCCTAAGCTTAGATTAGATGTGGCACAAGGCCGACATTATGGGGCACCCAGTGAGGTTCGAACTCACTATTCAGTTGTAACTGATCTGGCGCGACAACCTTATTAACTATTGCCCCACGTCGAAGTGCCTAAATAATTTTCTAAGCTTAGATTAGATGTGGCACAAGGCCGACATTATGGGGCACCCAGTGAGGTTCGAACTCACTATACAGTCGTAATTGATCTGGCGCGACAACCTTGTTAACTATTGCCCCACTTCGAAGTGCCTAAATAATTTTCTAAGCTTAGATTATATGTGGCACAAGGCCGGCAGTATGGGCACCCAGTGAGGATCGAACTCACTAGTCGTAAATGATCTGGCGAGACAACCTTTCTAACCATTAAACCGCCTCGAAGTGCCCACTTGTTTTATTTATGTAATTATCATTAGTATCGATCAGCAGTTTATTTTAACTACTGTTTATTGCAGATTTCTTATTCCTTTGTTTTGTATTCCTGGAACTTTTAACCAGTCTTCGACCGATTAATCGGCCAAGAATTGACAGCATAAGTTTATTCTCTCCCGATTATTCGGTGTTTATATTGAGCCATCCTTGTTTATTTCATTGTAGAAATGCCATCCCTGGCCAAAAACGTTTTCTTAAGCATAGAATGAATTTAAATACGTTTTCCTTAATTTCTCGCCAACCTCTATTGAGAGTACTTAATAATAACAAATATCTACGTCTAATAAAACACGTCGGCCATCATGTATAACGCGTTCAAGACAAGCAGATGATTGCAAATAAAATGCTTAGTGTTAAAATCCATATTGAATAGATAAATGTTCAATGACTTAGAGTACTGTCTATATTTCTGAGATGAGGTATTCTGTACAGTATTTACATTAGTCGGACTATTGTCCTCATCTTTGTCGCCATATTTGTCACAACGTTTCGGCCGTTGTACAATACAATATGGGAACCAGTAATAAGGAGTGCCAGAGAAAAGCAATGATAACAAAGTTGCAATATGAACTCTGGTAAAGACATGCAATGATAACAGCAAAATTGGTAAAAATGATGCTGAAAACATTAGGTTTATAATACTCAGAAGTTCATACCCAGATGTCCTCAAGGCACATGGCACATGGCACAGTGGATAAAGGCGTTGGTTAGATCCAGTGACGGGCCCAAAGAAAGTGAGTTCAATACCAGGTTAAGGAAGTGGAGAACTTTCAGAGGGAAATTTAGCAGGAGATAACTGATAACTGACATCCATCAAACATGGCACGTGGAACTAGAAAATAAAGGGTTCAGTTCGAACCGTTATGACAAATATGGCGACAAAGACGAGGACAATAGTCCGACTAATGTAAATACTGGACTTAGAGGATGTTTCACAGTTGTTGAGACAAAGCTGCCGCCTCTCAGATGGAGAGAGCTCGAGGAAGGTGAGGACCTTAATTGAGGAGGGACAGTGGTTTCAGCAGGATGGCGCTCCTCCACTGCTAATGTTATATGGCATAGCTCCGTGAAAAGTTTGGGAAGCTCTCATCTCATCAGCCGGAAAGCTGAAGTTAAATGGTTACCTCACTCGCCTGAACTGAACACCCTAGATTTCTTCGTATGGGCAGCCATCACTGAGAAGATTCAAGCGTTATCAACAATTTATGCATGCGTTATCAACAATTTTGCATTCAACAGTGCTTTCATCATGTTTGATACTAAAAAATTTTTGTAGATCCTAAAATGTTATGCTTTTGCCTTTCAATAAATGTAAATTCGATTCCTCTATCATTTGTGGTCATTTATTTGTGTTCGATCATTTCGTTTCAAAAACTGTGACGGACCCTTTTATTTCCAACGTGATGTTTCGCGGGCACAGATCTGCCCCTCAGGGTAAAATGAATCTATTATTATTAAGAATAATAGTGATTGTGGCTCGTTGCTTGTTTCCGAGTATGCCCATCTGATAGGGTCGCTAGCTAATCCCTATTGCAGACACTTGCTCAGGCACATTTATATGTATTTATAAGCCAACTTGATACCGGTTCCCGTACGATCACGGTTTCCTAAAGTCGAGCTCGATCAGTACTTAGAGGAGTGACGGCATGGGAATATAGGTAAGACTTAAGCTTGTGATTTGTGGGCGGTAATGGATTAGAATTGTTAATCGGAGGGCCAAGTTCCAATTCTCGTTGCTTTCCTTATATTCACTTACGCACAAATACCCTCGGGAAAGGCAAGAATTCACCTCTTCTCCCCTAAGCTATGGATTAATTAGTAAAACTAAATATAAAAAAATTATTATTGACTCCATAAAACTTCATACAAGCTAAAAATATTTTCTGGCTGCAAAGGGTTGATAAACCGTAGAAAACGAATCAATCAATCAATCAAGTGTTTGGATTGCTATGCATGTCTTTAATTTTCTGAAACCTTAAAATTAATAACAACCGGCCTAGATCAAGAAGACCTACTAAATAAAAATTGTGCTTCCAGATACTTATGAGTTCAATACCAGGCCACAGCAGTGATGAAATAAAACTTGGGCAGTTGAGTTAAAGGGAAATAACCGAGACATCCAGAAGAGGCATGACACGTGGAACTAGAACAATCTACTCCAGTGGACGAAATAAAAGGTTCGGTTCATAATTCCAATCAGCTGAAGGAGGCCAGAGCTTAAAACGGCCGAAACGTTATGAATAATTAAGTCTTCAAAGATCGCATGATACGCGAGTATATACCATAGTTCAACTTGTCGCTCAGTTTTTGCCTTAATCTTTTATAAGTCCTTTCCTTTGAATTTAATGTTTCCTTCTCTCTTTTTTTTTTTGCAATATTATTTTATTTTTTTACTTGCATTATTTACATTATTCAGACTGTTATCATCATCTTTATTGCCATATTCACGTTTCGATCGTTGTACTCTCCAGCCTTCATCAGGTGATTGGAATTTAAAACCGAATTCTTTTATGCCTTCCCCCAGAGTAGACTGTTCTAGTTCCATGTGGCATGCCTCTTCCGAATGTCTCAGTTATTTCCCTTTCCATTTAAGAAAGCTTTATTCAATACAAGAATACAAGGTTCGCATAGAGTGTCCTTTCATAGTCCAAGTAAACGGAAATAGTCCTCTCAAAGAGGAGAGTAACAAAACAATGGGAGATAACTCTTGATTATTTATAACAGCCATCTTTTTTTTTATTTACTTCTGATAATTCTCATATCCTCTTTCCAGTCCTTCCTTATTTTTTTTCTTTTGTTTCTTTCTGTCCGCCTCTCACCCTCATCTTCCCCTTTGCCGTTTTTCTAAAATTCACTTTTCCACCGATTTCTTTCTTTCGTTATCAATTTCTGTCACCCGTCTAACCACTCATATTTTTCTCCAGGTCTTTTTAATCTCTTCCTCTCTTTCTTTCTTTTGCTGTCTATGTTGTTTATCAATTTCTGTCCCCCACCCCCTCTAACCACTCATATTTTTCTCTGGATCTTTGAAATCTCTTCCTCAGTTTCTTTCTTTCGCTATGTTCTTTATCAATTTCTGTCTCCCATCTAACCACTCTTATTTTTCTCCAGGTCTTTTAAATCCTTTCCTCTCTTTCTTTCTTTCTTTTTTTTCTTTCTTTGAGTGTCTATGTTTGTTACCATTTCCGTCTCCCCCTCTAACCACTCATATTTTTCTCTGGCTTTTTCAAATTTCTTTCTCTGTCTCTTTCTTTCACTCCCTATGTTTGTTATCATTTCTATCTCCCCACTAACCACCTATATTTCCAGATCTCTTGATCTTTTAAATCTTTTCCTCTGTTTCTTTCTTTCTTCACTATGACTCTGTCTATTTATTTCTTCCTCTTTCTAAGCAACCATATTTTACTATAGAACTTTTAAAATATTTCTTTCTTTATTTACTCTCTATTTCCGTTGTGCCTCTCTTTACGGCCATTTTTTTTTTACCTTCCATTCTTGCTCAATAAACTGTGATTTCTCAGTACTTTTTAAATCTTCCTTGTTTACTTTATCCTTCTTTCTAATTCTTTCTTCGTCCTTATATCCAGCCAGCCTTTTCTTATTTTCACCTTTCTTTTCTTTCTCTCACTCTTTTCGGTGCACTTTTCTCTCTTTCTTTTCTATGAGACTCTCTCTTTTTTTTTCTTCTCCTCTTCTCCTTTTATTATCTTCTCAATTTATATCTACCTTTTCTTGATTTTTTTTCACTTCACTACTTTCTCTCTCTATCTTTCTTTAATCCCCTTCCCTTTTTACTTTCTCCTTCTCCTACCTCCCATATCCCCACTCTTCATTCTTCATCATCTTCCATGCTTTTTGGTCGTCTTCGTGGTTCTTTTGATCTGCTAGTGGTGAGGGGCTTATAACCTCATTCTTTTCCCCAGGAGGTGTATAATTTTTTTCCCTGTGCCAAAAAAAAAAAAAAAAAAAAAAAAAATTGCTTACATAGGATGAAGGTTTTTCTGTGTTTCATTTTTCATCATGTTGTGGAACTTACAAGGTGTATATATAGCTATATGTGCTTCATTGCCCGCTGGTAAGAGTTTTTAAAAATCCATTTTTTTCCTCCTCAATATGTTCATATATAATCTAAAAAAGCTTGTCTTCAGTTGTTTGCTTTTGGTTAAATTTAAACCCTATTTTCTGGCACATTCATCCACTTGCCATTTTTCAGTGTTTAAGATTTAAAATTTTAATTTTTTTTCTTAAATTAGAAATATATTTGTGGCTCAGCATTTTTTATTACAGCAATGAATTTAGACAGGCATGTATATATCTATCTTTACCTATAAATCTATCTATCAAATATATATATATATATATATATATTGTTTGAGAGTTATATATATGTATTGTTAGAGTGTTGTATGTATATGTTATTTGAGAGTTGTCTGTATGATTAACTATGGAGCAAGTTTGAAAATTGTTATAAATTTAACATGTGCCATCTACACAAACAATGGAAACAAAACTACAAGAAAACAACTTTGAATTTAAAAAATGAAATTTACATCCATATTATTTCACTGATAAAGCTTAAGGCAAAATGATATATATATATATATATATATATATATATTATAGATATTATATATATATATATATTGTTAGAGAGTTGTATATATATATATATATATATATATATATATATACATATTATATACAAGTGTCTGTGTGTATACATATATATATATATATATATATATATATGTTTATACATTCAATTGTAGATACAAATATTTAAGTAAATGCTATGTTTGTATGTACAAAAAGAATGTATAAACATAAAAATGTCTTAAAATAATTGTCGGACTTTGTCCATTTCATATATATATATATATATATATATATATATATATATATATATATATGAGCAAACATGAAAATTGTTATAAATTTAACATGACATCTACACAAACAATGAAAGCAAAACTACAACAAAACAAGTTTGAATTTGAAAAATGAAATCTAATTCCATATTATTTCACTAAAAACAAAATTATATATATATATATATATATATATATAAATTAATATATATATATAAATTAAATTAATGATATATATATATAAATTAATTGCAAATTGGAAAACATTTTTTGTCAGACTAAAGTAATGTTTTTGTTGATAGAATTGCATATTTCGAAATGAGATGGGGAACATAAAAACACAAGCATTGTTTGGAATTATGCACAGACAGGAATCACTGAAAATTTTGGAATGCTGAAATTTTAAACTTTAAATTAATTTCAATTTTCTCACATGTTTCTGTACCTGTTGTCTCAGCAATTTCATTCAGTTTCCTTATGTTTTTGTTTTTATGACTTTTATTATTAAACATCCGACATTGTGATATTAGAAAATCTGCCAAGAAAGGTGAAATGTTGTTAGAACCTGAACACAGTTATACTGTAGATTATCTAATAATTAAAACACTCTCTATACGCTTTTGTCTTCGTAAATAATTATACCTTTTAATTAAATTAGCATTTTTTTAAATAAAAATTATGGTCAAATTCATTACACTGAGCAACTTCTGTACTGAATGTGTAGCTGCATAAATGACCTTTTTTGAGTTCATATAGTCTTTTATTTATATAAAAGTTTATATATCATATTCTCCCACATACATATACATTTAGGTATATATATGTACAAGCTGAAAGCTTAGATAGGATTAAAAAACATGTATCAATATGGTTTTATTCTTTCATCCTTGAATGATAATGTTATTAATCTTATCAGATAATATGAAAGGAATTTACTTAAAATAAATAGACAAAACTTGTCTATATTAATTAATGAAACATGCATCAATATATATATATATATATATATTTCAATAAAGGTGCAATCAATTTACAAATTCATGAATTATTCATACAAAAACAAATACAAAGGTTAATGATTTAATTGGCGAGAAATCCATCGTCGCAAACAATTCAAATAATATACAAAAAACCCGAACCTGTTATGAATGAAAAGATCCTTGTTTTTATAAATTTTTGTTGCATTAGTTCTTATTTTTACTACAAGCTTTTGTCTGTTCCTACAGACATCTTCAGGTATGGAATAGATGCCAATTAAATCATTAACCTTTGTATTTGTTTTTGTATGAATAATTCATGAATATATATATATATATATATATATATATATATAATATATATATATATATGAGATATGAGTTTGTGACCTTGGGTTCCACTATTTTGCGATCATCAGACAAACTGGTTTATTTTTTTAAAAATTGAATTTGTTTATGCTTGTTTGTGTTTGATTATGTTTGGTGGTGGGAGGGGGAAATCCTCTTCTGTGTCTGTTTGTGATGATACTCTCACACAGACATACATACATACATACAGGTGTACAAATTTTAGTTCACAAAAACACACCTATATAAACAATGCGAGATTAGACACAGATATGCATCCATACTTTCAAGATTGATAATGAGTACTTTTCAAGTACTGCGCATATAAAATAATACATACATATATATATATATATATATATATATATATATATATATTATACGTTTCTCAATTTTGTGACTGGAAGCAATAATTCCGAGGTGGATATAAATGCAGTGAGCAATGTAGACTACAGGGTATTATAACAAAAATAAGAAGATGGAGACTTTAATTATCCATTTCGTTTATAATGTTTATTTTGTGAACACCGAGATGTTCATCTCATCAAAACAAAAACCTTCACCACAAATGAAGAAAGTACAGCGGACAGACACTTTAGATTGGTAGTGGGGAAGGAAGGTGAGAGACAGAGGTTGAGTAAAGATAGGGCTGAGAGATAAGTTAGGTTATATATATATATATATATATATATATATATATATATATATATATGTGAAATAAATTATAACTGAAATGAATCTTTAATGTTTTCTTCTTGCTTATTATTATTATTATTATGCTCTGTAGTCTACATTGAGCTCTCCCTGGATTAATATTCTCCTTGGAATTATTCCTATCACAAATTGGTTGCATTTGGAAACTAGAATCAATCAGCACGTACCTTCCAAAATACGACTTGGTAAGATAGATAGAATATGCTATCTTCCCCCCATGAATATGGAGTCGGCTATTGCTCAACATTTAGTTGAGAATATAGCTTGCACCAAGTTGTTTAAAAAAGAGTGGTTTAAAATTATTCATACAGCTGATTCCAATAATCATTTGAAGATTTTGGAATCGGTCTGTATAGGATTAAGAAAACCTTCTCTCTGCCGGCAGAAAGAATTTATAAAGTCTCTGAATCTGTTGCGGGATATTTTATTTTAACTGTCCCTCGCTAATTTATTTAAACGATTCTTTTCCCTTCCCCTCGTTACAAGTATATATACTTGTTTGTTATTTTAGTGTGCTTCCCCCTCTTTTTTGCTCTTCAATATCGTTTATATTCTTTTCGCTAATCCAACGATTGTCTCCTGATGAGATGTTGGCTGAAAGGGCCCTAGAGACTTTTAAAATTAAAATCAATGCATTCCTTGTTTTTAAAACTATTTATAAATTTTGTACCTCCAAACATTTGTTTATATATATATATATATATATATATATATATATATATATATATATATATATATTTTTTATACATACATATATATATAATATTATGCTCTGCTTTGTATTGAGCACTTTTAAAAAATACATTAGCGGTTAGTAATAGTTGTGTGTGTGTGTATATATATATATATATATATATATATATGCAATTTATTATATATATTATTTATATATTATATATGTGCAGCACTCAGTATCAGAGATAGAGCTAACATATTTAGTTGGATTGATCAATCCAACTATATATATATATATATATATATATATATATATATATATATATATATATATATATGCACACACACATCTATATATACACACACACATATATATATATATATATATATATATATATATATATATAGAGAGAGAGAGAGAGACATATATATGCAGTATTAGTATTATAAATTATATTTCATTGCCTTTATATAAAACATGTGTTTGCATATAATTGTCAACCAATATACAAATTACTTACATTTAAACAGATTATTTTGTAACATACTGGTATATGTTTGTGGAAATGGCTTTGTAAAAATGTTGACTAACATCCACCTCCTGCACGTCTATGTTTGGGATATTTACTTACGATGGGATTTATTTATAAGAAATGAATTTTGTGTGAAAGATTTACTGGAAATTAAAGCCAATCTCAACCGACGTTTAACTTTTTGAAAAACTTAAAATATAATCTGAACACTTGATATTTACATTTTTAACAATAAGTCCCCAGAGAAATCAAACTGATTGAAAATTTAATTTTAAGCTGAGTAAAATTATGCCCTCAATCTGAAATGAAAACTAGAATAGTTTTGTCTCAAATTTTTTTTAATAACTTTGTTGATAAAATATTCTGGGAATTTGGGGGTTGTGAGAAAATTCTCAATATATATTTTTTTTTAAAAACATTTATTTTCTTTTTTTGGTTACTAAATGTTTTTAACATTTTAAGTTCTCAATTCTTCTGCACAATTCTGAATAATTGTTCTTCAATAATTATATTTTAGTAATTGAGAAATAATATTTAACAAGGAAATTTCAAGATGTTTGCTGTCAGAATTAAAATAAACAATGAAATGCACCCTCTTTAATATTTTAATAAAAAAGAAAAAGTCAAAACTCAATAGCATTAACTATGAACATAGCGACAATGTGCTGACCATGTTTCGAAAATAAAACATCCATATAACTGTAGATGCACACATAACACAGCCCATACATTCAGTTAAAAGTAAAAAATAAAATCATCCTTGATAATAGCCAAAAGTAGAGCTTAAAGT